AAAACCTACTGTAAAATGCATCCCAATTATTTTCAGAGATATTAAAAAGTTTTTTAAACAGTGTGGCTTAAAATTGATGAAATAAGTAAGACTGAGTGCATTATAGAGGAGGAAACTGATTGGAGATAAAAGACTTCATTTTCCCCTGCATGACTTTTCACATTTCCAGTGATTAAATGTACCATATAAATGAACATTAGGTTACTAAAATTTATGCAGAAATATTAGGTAACTCAGGCAAGCTGTTTTTAGGTTTTTTTTTTAAAAAATAAGGTAGTTGACATTCTTGATCATTAAAATACAACTGGTATTTTTCAAAGTCTGAAATAAGGAAGAAAGGTAAAATTATACATTATCTGAAATATATTTTGATTTTGTTTTTATGTTAATTATCTCTTTGAGAACAGAGATCAAAAAAAATCTCTTTTGGGTCTGGGGATACAGCTCAGTAGCACAAGCGCCTGCCTGGCAAGTGCATGGTCCAGAGTTCGATTCCTGGTACAAAAGAAAAAACAAAAACAAAACAAAACAAAAAACTCTCTGTTTTCTTCCGCCTGTACTGGGTAAGGAATATAGGAACACACAACATTTTTTTTTTTTTTTTTTGGAAGACACAGTCTCACTATGTAGTAGGCTAGTCTTTTTTCTTTTTTTCTTTTGTGTTTTTCATTTTTATCAGTACCGGGGATCGAACTCACGACCACCTGCTTGCAAGGCAGGTGCTTATGCCACTGAGCTAAACCCCCAGCCCCAGTAGGCTAGTCTTGAACTCACAATGAACCTCCTGCCTCAACCTGGCAAGTGCTACCATTACAGGCATGCACCACTATGCCAGGCTGTAAATACACAACTTTTAAAAAGATAAAGCTCTATAGTCATCACACCAAATATTCTAGTCATTCACCAAAATATTAAAGATAACTCTGTACATTAAGATCTAAGCAAAGCACACATTAAAAACAGTGCCTAATAAATCAGCACTGGGATTCCATTATCCCCTATTCCTAGACCTTTGTCTTATAAGAAATGCGTATTTATTAACTATTATGTGTTGCACACATGCAACAAATACATGTCTAGGAAAACAAGGGAAAAAAAATCAAAACCATCCAAAGCTGTAATCCCTTTGCAGTAATATGCTCAGCAATCTAAAAAACTTTTCTCTACATAAACTATTGTCTTAAAAAAAAAAAAAAAAAAAAGGCCAGGCATAAAACTAATGCTATACTCAAAATTCACTTGCTGTAACAGAAAGTGTTTTTTCAATGTCAATACAAATTTCCTGGCTACACAGCATTTTAGTGCATGAGAGCAAGGTATTTGTTTCTCTACTAAGTGGATGCTCTCACTGTATTCAAATTCTTTGAAAACATGGAATATCCCTCATTCAGCCCAATGAATTTTAAAAAAAAGAAAGAAAAAAACAAAAACCCTGTCTTGTCCCAGGCACATAAACATTCAGTTTCCACATTTCATACCTGAATACTTTAAAGTCAAAATAGAAAACCAACATACACTGACTGAAAAGCAGAGCTTCCTGTGAAGCAGCAGCAGCCTGATACAACAGCTTTTGACAAACAAAAGCTTTTTTAAAATTTTTACTAACGTTGACCAAAATTTACTAAAGTTGCATATATATAAAGTTGCATATATAAACATTTTTCAAGAGGTTTTCTTAGGGAAAAATGGTTCTCCCATTTCAGCATTAAAATTTTGAAAAACAAAACAAAAACTGTAACAATCTACAGGAGATTTGAACTGTGCTACATTCTTGCTCTTTTTCCCAGGTATTATATTGATTAGACTCACATAAATCCACAATAACCAAATATCAGAAGGCTACTATCATGACATAGTGCAACACTTGATTTCAGCTTTTTACTGATTAATATGTGTGGAATTTACAATGTTATATTTTATCTTTAAAATATACAGAAAAGAAAATGAAAAATGCCCACTAAAAAGAAAAAAAAAGCATGACCAAAAGTTAACATCTATTAACTACTAGAAAAAAATCAGGTTTAAAACAAGATTCCATTATGAGTAAAATTCAAAAAATGAAACCAAATACTGACAAAAGTTTCAGCAAAATAAATATATTTTTAACTTTCACCTACTGCTTGTGAGACTGACTTCACACTGATACAAACAAAATGCATTATTTCTAATGATGAAGAGAAGGGGAAAAGTGAATTGTAAACTATAACTGTAGATATAAAGATTTTATCAATATTTATATATACATATATCTTAAAGTTTATCAATTTGCATACAGCAGGATTTTGAGCAAATAATTCTTTTTTTTTTATTTTGAAGGAAGTAAAATACAACACAACAAGACAGAATAAGGGCAACTGAGATAGTGTAGTGAAATTGGTACAGAACTTCACAGCAGGTTATCAGGATAACAGTAATAGGTATCACACTATATTGTTATCTTCACAATAGTTGTTCTTTCAAAAACATGTATCAAAATAAAATGAAATACAGAACATTATAGAACTTATCAAAACATATTGAATAGAGCAGTACCATTAATCAGAATAAAACAAAACAGTAATAAAAATATTTGCCTTCAAAGGGATGGTAGAAGGAAATCCACCTTATTTGCTATGGTCAACCTCCCAAGAGATGCTCAGATCTCTGGTTCCCATTTGTTAACGGGAGGAGGGGGTGGTTAGAGGAAGTGGGATGTTTTGACTCTCAGCCCATGCACCAGTAGGCTCACTATTGCTTAGCAGGAAGGCAGGCTGGTTGCTTGGTTTCCCAGCGTCCTGAGATCCAACACGGCACGGATCTCAGGAGACACTGGTGGGTCTCCCCCTGGAGGGGCTGCAGCCTGCCACACCGCAGCTGCTTACCAGGGAAGTAAGCTAGTTGCTTGCTTTCCCAGCATCCTAAGTTCCAACATGGTGTGAATCTCAGGAGTTGCTGGTGGTTCTACCCCTGGAGTGGCCGCAGCCTGCCACACCATAGCTGCTTACCAGGGAGGGGAGCTGCTTCTTTGATTTCTCCAGCATCCTAAGTTCCAACATGGCGCTGATCTTAGGAGTTGCTGATGGTTCTCTCACTGAGGGGGCCGCAGCGAGCAAATAATTCTTTGAGTTATATATACAAAGTCATATAACTGTCACCAAAATCAGAGAACTATTCTGTGATCTGAGCCCCCAAAATGCTCTTCACTTTGCCTCTTGGTAGTCAAATCCTTAATGTGAAGCAGCAGCAATCTTGATTTATTCTCTATTCCTAAGTGCTTGCCTTTCCCAAACAGTATACAGTCCTTTGAGTCTGGCTTTTTACCTAACACAATGTATCTGAGATGCTTCTATATGAAAGTGAATTATAACTGATACAAAAAATCCTTAGTTCAAAATGCTTTATTAAAGATTATTAGGGGGATGGGAGTTTAGCTCAGTGGTACAAGCACCTGCTTGGCAAGTGTGAGGTCAAGATCCCTGATACCAAAAAAAAAAAAAGATTATTAGGTAGGTATTTCTGACTAATCTTTTTGATGAAGTAAAGGGATAAAGCCACTTAAGTGCAACTTGTTACATACCTCAGATATATTACCAGTGAAGAAATAAGAACTTTTAGTCAATTGCGAGTCCGGGGCAAAAAAGGAAGAGCTAGATGTTTGCTAGACTGTGTTTTGTGGCTTCTATTCGCTGTGGACTGCTTAGAAAGAACCTGGGAGACCTCCGAGCCATGCAATGGAGGTGGTGACCTTTGAGGATGTGGCTGTGAACTTCAACAGTGAGGAATGGACTTTGCTGAGTCCATCCCAAAAGAAGCTCTACAAAGATGTGAAGGGGGAAACCTTTAGGAACATGGCTGTTACAGAAATGACAAGGTAGTGAAATGTTATGGACATACATTTTGGAATCAGTGTAAAGAAGTATTCCTTAATACTCCAGAAGCTAATGTGGGTGTGAAAGAAACAGAAACACAGCACAATGTTCAGATCCATGAAAAACATCAAAGTGGAGGGAAAAACTATTTATGTAAGCAGTGTGGGAAAGCTTTTACCAAACATGAACATTATAAGCAACATGAAAGTATTCACATTGGAGAGAGACCCTACATATGTAAGCAGTGTGAGAAAGCTTTTACTACACGTACATATTTTTGAGTCCATGAAATAATACATACTGCAGAAAAACTTATATACGTAAGCACTGTGAGAAAGCTTTCATCACACGTACATAGTGTGTAATCCACAAAAAACTTCACATTGGGCAGAAATTGTATATATGTAAGGAATGCGGGAAAGTGTTACCCAATGTGGACATTGTAAGAAACATGAAAGAATTCACACTGGAGAGAAACCGCAAATATATAAACAATGTGGGAAAACTATTACACTTGTGGAGATCATAAGAAACATAAGGATTCACACTGGAGAGAAATCCTACTCATGTAAGCACTGTGGGAAAGCTTTCAAGCACACATACATATTATGAAATGCATGAAAAAGTTCACACTGGGCAAAAACCATAATTTTGAAGTTGCATTTGTTTTAATTATTTGATGCACATGCTTCATTTTCTGTGTCACAAATGATGTTTCTGAAATTGATGCTGTATTTCACATTAAGATATTCACTTATAGAGGCTTGGAACATGTGTTTTTGACAATGATGTACTCTTTTCATATAACTTGTTCAGTAACAAATGCTATGTTTTTCATGTTGTGGCAGGAGACCTGCTTATACCTAACATCACTGGATATCATACCATGTACATTGTGTTGCCTGTTTTTTTTTTTCCACAATAGAGCAAATATTGACATTAAAAAAAAAAAAAGAACTTTTGTATTATTTTCAATCTTAATGGCAGAAAACTGTATTTTACCAGTGATGTGACCGGAATCAGGAAATTACTGTAATTACTAGGATTCTGTTCTATGTATTTTTTTTTAAAACAATAAGATACATTCCCCTCTTTAGAATATGTTACCATATAACATAGTTATTAAGTAAGTAATGCAATTACTTCTCCTACCTGTTCATCATCTTCTACCACCACTAAGGTTAGTTTATTCTTCTTAAAATCCAATCTGGTTATCTTAGGCCTATAATAATGAGATGAACAGCCAGATTAGAAATTTGTTTTTTCTTTTAAATACATTTAATTGTTTAACTTCTGAAAGTACTACTGATAAGAAGTTAAACATAACCTGTCACGAAAAGTCTCTACCCCAAAGGAAAGGTTAAAATACTATTTCAAACGCAGTACCTCTCATGAATTGATGCAGCTCATGTATCAGACATTAATAGGATCAAGGAAAAAAGAGTATGAAGAAATCTGTATATTTCATAAACCCCAACTATGCTGTAAGAAATTTCTCAGACCTGAATAAACTGTTTCAGTATTAAAGGAACATCACAGGAACTGAATATAGGAAAGACCACAAAGCATAAAGAATATTATCCATTAGGGTTTTCCACTCTATTTTCTATAGCAATCTTGATGTAATTTTTTTAAAGACAGATCTTACTAATTTTCAAAGGCTGTCCTCAAACTTAAGAGTTCTACCACCTGATCCTGCTCAGTAGCTGGGATCACAGGAGTGTGACAATTAAGCTATGTCAACTTCACTGGCCTGGGAGTTGCCTGGAAAATTAGTAAAGCAAACTTTCTGAATGTGTCTGGGTGGAAAATGGTGGTATGAGCTGAGGCCTATATCTGGTCCCTCAACCTTCTCTGGTGCTCTTCCCCTACTATTTATGGGTCAGTAGTTACTTAGTTTTACTGTGCCATGTTTTTGCACCATGATGTTTCTATCCAGTGCTGGTCGGTCATGACCCTGGATCCCTCACCCTTTTTCCTTGGCACTGTTCCCCTGCTCTGCTTTTCAGTCACTATGAGGCAAGCACTATTCCACTGCCATGCCCTTTAGTAATAATGTTTCTGTCTTGGACCTACCAGATCAGCTCTGAGTCTCTCAAACCTGTGAGCCATGTTAAGCTTGTCTTTCTTTAAAGTTATGGGTGTTAGGTATTGTGCCTCAATGAGGAAAACCGACATGCTATATACCCTGTTCAGGAAATACGCCTTAAAATTAAAACAAAACCAGCTCACTTTATAGCCTACTTTCCATCTTTATTTTTCTACCTATTAGCAAAATTCTAAACCACCTGCCACATTTGAACTCTGTGCATGTATGAACTATGAATTTAAAAACACTAATTCTCACTGATATAGTATCTTTTAGTTTTTGCAACAATCTTATGAAGAGGCACAAACAGTGTGCTGTATCTCTGCCTAAAGCACTCTCTGGACATTCAGTGATTCCATCTGCCCAATAAGTAGAATGGATATGCCAGAGAATTACTACGCAAAGACTGAAGAGATAAATCACCACTTCTTCATTCATAAAGGAACAAATGGAAAGTGTTCCACTTAAATCTATCAGAGTCCTTCCAAGGAACACCTGGAGGTCAATTTGAATTTGGGTGGAAGGGTTCTCAGATAACCATCTGGATGTCTGTAAAAAAGTTAGCAACACAGAGCCAAAGATACTGAGGCCATTTTGGATTGCGTGTACAACACCAGTACACTCCTCTAAGCTCTGACATGAACATAGTAATATAAACACTGTATTCTTGATTTAAGCCTTTAGAACACACACACACAAAAAATCTAAATTATGGTTATGAAATCCACATAAAATTTATCCCTGATGTGAAAGTAAAATGTAATACATAAGTATGGAAGATAAAACTCAAAACAGAATGAGTAGTCAAACTTAACAAAAGGGGTAAAAATACTCATACACAAGAATAGGCAAAGGGAACACTGTGTGGAAAAAGAAACAGTAAAAACAGTGACACAGTCACACAAAGGGAAAGAGTATCCATGTTAATAACACTTAATAAAAACAGAAATTTAAATGAGTATGGTGGTATGCATCTGTAATCCCAGCACTCAGGGAGGCTAAGGCAGGAAGACCGTGTGTTCAAACCCACCGTGGGCAACTCAGTAAGACCCTGTCTTAAGCAATAAAAAAGAATTGGGAGATGTAGTTCAATGTGAAAGTTCTTAGGGTTTAAATCCCAGTACTGCAAAAACAAAACAAAACAAATATATAAAAATAAATACGATATTAAGACATATTTCGATGTAACTCGAAACTAATGGAAAAAATTCTATAAATTATCTCTAGGGAGTAAAACTAAAAAAAGGACTGTGACAGGAACAGTTGCTTTCCATTTACAAGCTTTCCATAACTGCTGGATTTTCAAATGTGTTATATATTAATTCAATATAAAACAAAATAACAGTAACTATCCCTGAATTAATTCTGCTTACCAAAAAAATAATCCAATTTTGGTCTCGCCTTCAAAAACAAGGACTCCTGTTGGCGTGAGTCCTAAACTATAGTCATTCCCATCTCTAGCCTAATTTAAGGAGAGAAAAAATTTAGTTTAATTTGCATCAGTTTTCACATTATCATTTAACTTTTTAATTTCATTTTCACACTGACTTACTATAGACAAGATGATATACAAGGTATTTTCAATAATTAAGGCATCCAAATTCATATTCTTTGAGGAATTCATGAATATCTCTTTTTTTCCCCTAAAGTAACTGATAAACTATCTACTAGTCTCTTATCCATGATGAAATAAATTCCAAATTCTCAAGGGATGCTTGAAATTATGGGTAACACATAACCCTACAGATATTATATTTTTTCCTACACATGCATACCTATGATAAAGTTTAATTTATACTTTAGGTACAGTGAAAAGTTAGTAATCAAACAGAACTGTAACAGTATACTGTAATATTAATGAAATTGCTTTCTCAAAATAATATTTCTAGAATTTTCCATTGACTATTTTTGGACTTTGGCTAACTGAAACCATGGAGTAAAGTAAAACCACAGATAAAGGATGACTACCAAGGTTGTAAGGTATTTCCTTCAATAAAAATGGGTAGGTAAACTCCCATTATCAAGAAACACCTCTTCAGATTCATCCCATATTAAATTTACCATTTAAATCAGAAGTCCAGAAAAAGACTGCTTTCTTAGAATTATGCTGTTGGTTAAGCTAGAAATAAATCACTACCCAATGTGTTTTACAATTATCAAAATCCTTTCAAGCTTTAAATTTTCAACTTTGCTTCCTGAACTATTTTAATATTTTAATAGTTAATAGATAATAGTTAATATTTTAATAGTTAATAGAATATTGAGCTTAAATGATATAAGATAATATGAAATGAAAAAGATTTTAAAGTAGTTTTAAGGGCCAGAGATATCGTTCAGTGGTTAAGCACTTGCATGGCATGTACAAGGTCCTTGGTTTGATTCCCAGCCATGTGCACACACACTGTGGTCAAAAAGCTAAAACAAAACAAAACTTCTCACAGTTAGAAAAGTAACTAAGAAACACCTATGTATTTTGCAAGTTATGGTAATTTCTCTTCTAGTAATGAAGTTTTCCATTTCAGCAGAGTTCAGTATTTTAATCCGGGCTTTTTTATTTTTACCAAAGTGCCCAGTGTTAGCCTATGCAACTCCATGGCCTCCACCATACTGTATAATTCAAGCACAGAAAATTCCAGAGAAATGCATTCTTTAAAATGTACAATAACACAGTGCTTACCTTGACTACATGCATATCAACCCCATACATTTCTAGCCATTTGGCTTTATTCAAATAATTGGTTTCAGCTTGTGCAGGTGTCTGACCTCTGAAAATTAAAAGGTAATATTTTTAAAAATAAGCATAAATTTAATTTTGTATCAAAGGTAAAAACAAAAGAAAATGAAAAATGACTTCCGTGTAGGTATTAGGAAAATATGATCAAATAAATACCTGTATTCCTTCCATTTCTCAAAAATAGCTAGTTCCATCTCTTCAGTCTGAATGGGCACAAACCTGAACTCAGAGACGAGTTCAGGAGTATGTTCAGCAAGATCATAATCACCAAGCTCAGCTACAAATGTAAGTTTCATAAAGTTATATTGAGTTCATTGTATATTAACAATGAATATTGTATCTTTTCTGAAAAATCCTTCAAAACATAAAATTGTTCATAAGATTAATTCTATCCATAATTAAGTTATACCCACAGAATACCATACTATATAATATTTTACATAGTCCATGGCTTCCTAGAATATAAGATTATCAATCCTAAAGAAACATGTGAGAATTATCACTGCCACCACTACTATCCCCACCTCATCACCCCCCTAAAAAAAAAAAACAGTGAGAAGAAACAACAGGTAAAGAACTGAACGATGCACATTCATACACTTGTATGTGCCTATCTGTGAACTGTGAGTTTAGGGAGGAAGGGAAAATACATATCTGTTTTCTTCCCTTCTTTCCTCATAAATCTTTGCAGTGCTAGAGACTGAGCACAGGACCTCCCACAGTTTAGGCAAGTGCTTTATTATTGAGCTACAAATAGCACCTATATTCTATGCTTGCAATTTTTTCTTTTAAGGAGAGAAAAAAACACATGAACTATCTTCATATAATAAACAGTAATGGGTAATCAATCATAATTAAATTCTTAATCCATATGGCACATGTATTTATTAAGCAACACTGTGAGTTAAACATTTGTTAAAGTATACAAAGACATATGAATAAGATTTTCAAACAAAATATATTCTGGCTGTCTTGAAACTTACACAATGAGGCACAAACAATAAATGGGACAATCAGTAAATGGTATAGTGAAAACAGCTTTATAACAGAACCAAGTAAGTTTTTAGAATTAATACTCTCCTATGGGAAACAATATAAAATGTAAGTACACTCTCAAATAACTATTTTTGACCTAGGAGTGCAGTGTGGTGGTTAGAGCACTTTTCTAGTATGCATGAAGACCTGGGTTCAATCCCCAGCAGCACCACCCCCAAAATGCAAGTATATACTCTGATCATTACAATGCTAGAAACACAACATTCTTAAGCTAGTTAATGACTTGATATTATATAGATAAGAAAAGAAGTTTTAATTTGGAGACAGACTAGGATAATAAATGGCAGTAGGCAGAAAATTTAAATCAATAGAAAATTTTTGAAATACAGAAATGTTCTCATCACCAGTTCCTATTATCAACAAGAAAGTATGCTTTCTTTAGTAACAGCCAAACAAAATAAGCAAACATATTAAGTTTACATAAAACATAAAATTTAGTCTTATTTATACAATGGCAAATTACTACTGATCTTAGTTTGAGACTAAAGATAGAATCACTAAATATGCAGAGAATTAAAGTCTTGATCATTATTAAATATTTTTATTCTAGACCAGTAAATGTGAATCTTTTAGAGATAAGTGCCAAATTGTGACCCAAAATCCACTTACTTATTGCAAAGTGCCAACACTATAATTAAACCTGAATACCAGGCCAGGGATTTAGCTCAGTGGTGCAGTGCCTGTGGGAAGTATAAGGTCTCAAGTTCAATTATTGATAAACCCCTCAAAAAAAAAAAAAAAAAAAAAAAAAAAGAAAAAAAAAACTGAACATTGAAAAAAATACAGAAAAAATAACTCATATTAAAATCTGCTGTCTTAAAAGAAAAATACAGTTTTCCAAGTATGGTGGCACATGCTTGTAATCCCCACATTCAGGAGGCTAAGGCCAGAAAATCACTGCAAGTTTGTGGCCACCCTGGGCTGCAAAGTGAATTCAAAGCCAGCCTGAACTACACAGTGAAACCTTGTCCCAAAAAGACAAAGACAAAAACAAAACAATTTAACACAAGTTCCACAGGTTTGCCATCACTGTTCTAGTAAACATGGAGATATTCCTAGGAAAAAACTTTTTTCCAGTGAACAAGGATAAAAATTAAGTTTTTTTTTGACAATATCCAAACCATTTTCTAAAGAAAATTTGTAAAGTAATAATATTTAATCAATGTAACAGGGTACAAAAAAGTAAGCTTTTCATTAATCTCATTTACTAGAGTAAACTTTAAAATGGCCATCAGGAACTCTTAAATATACAGCACATAAGAAATTCTTTCATGGGTTCATTTCAAAATACCATCTGCCTTCAGCAGTAATTTTCTTGTATCCTACTGCATTTTTGTAAAGGAAAATATTAGCTGAGAGCCCAATCATAACATTTACTGATTTTTCCTGTAAACCTCAATTTTTGTTTGAAAACATTAGAAATGGAAAAGAGGCAACCATAAGAAAAGGAATAAAACGAATACAAAGTTCTAAAATAAATAAAGAGTTGCACATTGATACATGTTTATATAAAAGGTGTTTCTTTTCTTGCAAATGATTTGACTCTTCAAATTTTTACAAAAAACAATTATGTTTTAGGCTTAACAGTCAACACAAGAACTGCTTACCTTGTAGATTATAAGCTGCCAACTGCACTGCTGTATCAAATGGACATTCTAATCTGAGATCAAAACACAAAATTGTTAAGTCAATTGTATAATCATTTTAAGATAAATAAAAATAACACATATTTGTTAGCCATTTCATTTTTATAACTATGAACTTATTTTCACATTTTTCAACCACTCTAGATATTTGCTCAACAATACTCACTTTCCACTGAGAATATCTTGTTTTAACTGAAGAACAAATAAATACCTAAGAAAAATGAAAAACACAAATGAATAAACCAGTAAAAAAAACCCTTGCCCTTTTGATTTGAAGACATTTTTCACTATATAATTTTATCCACAATAAAGTACATAAAGGAAAAAATTTGGAAAAAGGAGCAATAAGCCTTGGAGGATAGAAGCATGACAAAAATAAGCTGGCCACATAGTAGGTAATACAGTAACTTTATGAGAAAATGCTTAAAGCAAATTATTGAGAAAAAGCTTTGTATCCTAACTTTAATTAACACATCCTTCTTATACGTGAAGAGACACTACATGGATAGATTCTTGGACAACAGTTATAATTTCATTATCACGTGTTCAAGAGAGAACCCTTCCAAAGGAACCCTCTGACTCAACTTTTTCATTTAATGAAGATTACATGCATATGTAATAGAGTCAATGAGGAAATATCAAGGAGGCAGAATAAAATAAAGTGTGCGCAACATAAAGTTTATTCAAATCAGGATATAACATTTTCATTCACTGGTGGCATTTTAATGAGTAAAGAGTCAGGAATTAACTTGAATGAACATTCAGAGGCCAAAGAGATTACTTTGTATGTCCATAAACATGATACTGCAATGTACTGAAACCCAAGAATCCTGTTTAAAATCTACGGGTTAACAGTATGCTTAAAAGAAAAAACACTGGCAAATAAAAAAACCAAAAACCACCTCATTAGTCACCTACAGAGAGTACTAGGGAACCAAATATTTTGAAAATAAATGAAAGGACAGAATCATACACTTAAAAAACACTATTCCAGCCAGATGTGGTGTTGGGAGTACACACCAATAATCCTGGCATTCTGAAAGGCTGAGACAGAAGATCATAAATTTGATCTGGCCTAGGCAAGTTACTGACTTAGTGAGACATTGTTCCAAAATAAAAAATAGCTGGCACGGTGGTAGTATGAGCCTGTAATCCTAGCACTCAGGAGGCTGAGCCAGGAGGACTGCCACAAAAAGACCAGCCTGGGCTACATAGTGAATTCAGGCTTGTCTAAACTATATAGCAATTCCCCATCTAGAAAAATCATAAAACAAACTGTTATGGTTTGTGTCTATGTGGCCCCTCAAACCTCAAGCAATCACGGGTGTGGCCCAATCTAACCTTTATGATTGGTTTGTTGCCTAGCACTGGGACTGACAATGTGGGTGCTTCACTAGCCCAGGGGCAGAGCCAACATACAATGTCAAGACAGGAAGAAGGCGTGTCTTGCCTCTATTGCTCTGTTCATACTTGCTGTTTGCTGCCGCCATGCCATCCTGCCTTGGAGCCAGCTGAGTATGAACTGAAACCCCCAAAACTCTAAGAAATAAACCTTCCTTGCTTCACTTTGGACATCAGGTATTTTGTCTCAATGAGAGAAAAGTAACTAAGACACAAACAAACAACAAAATAAAAAAATAGAAGAGCTAGAGATGGGGCTCAGTGCAAAGACCCTCGGTTCAGTCTCTAGTACAGCTAATTCTTACCGGGTTAGTTCTTCACGAAGGTTGTTTGGCTCTGAGGAATAAAACTTAACTCGAAGATGTAGGCAATAAGGAGAACCAACTGCCATGAAAAATAAAAGTTTAGTTTCTATTTAACTAATACTTTTCAGCTAGTAAATCTGTTGAAAAGCTATAGAAGGACAGAAGATAACAGGTTACTATGGCTCAAGATAGATCACAACTTCAATGTTACACAAAAACAGCAAATTTAAAAAACATACCAACCATCTTATGACACTATCATAAATATCTGTCACCTCAAGAACAGCTCTAATTCCAACAGTTCAGGGCCAAATGCATCAAATAAGTCTTTACTGTACAATCCTAACATCCTTGAAAACCAATCAAGCTGAATTTTCTTAAGAGCACTGAGATATGCTCAGATTAATAACTGGTCAAGAATAATTACCCCACATACTTTCAAATTCATCTCAGCTAATTCACTAACCTCTATATTCTCTTGTCTCATCATTTTGTAAACACAAGAGTTGAGGTTCCCTGGAATTTGAGACTACAGAAGGACACACTGAGTTATGGAATGCATACTAACATTCTTTTCTGACTGTTCTCAGAACATTAGAATGATTTTTAGAAAGCAGAGATGCTAAAATAATCCAGGCAAAACCAATTTTTTAAATGTCCTTATTCTCAAGAGACAGTTTCTAATATATTTGATTTCCATTTTCTCTACAAATATCTTGTTTATAACTTACTTTTTACTTGTTTTTTGATGCTTTTTGTACCATCCAACCAATGCTGAAAACAGACATAAGAAATAGTTAATTAGATGAAAGAGCTTTAAAATTTTAATTGCTAAAGGTTATTTATCATCATGCCTTTGTTGACAACCACAATGAAATACTTCACAAGGGAAAAACCAAAGGGAGTAAGCAAATGACTATCAGAGAGAGAATGAGAATGAGTGAGAATGGAGATCACTCTAACATTCATGCTAAGTTTATGACATACATAAAAAGAATACCTAAAACCTGATATGCAACTTACTAGAAATATTTTTCCTGTCTTCAATTACCATGGTAATAGTCTAAATTTTGTCCTTAGTTTTTCTCCTGCTCTCAAATAAAAGAGTCTCAAAACTGTTAAAAGTTAAAAAGGGCTGGGGATGTGGCTCAGTGGTAGACTACTTAACATGCATGAAGACCTGGTTTTCATTGTCTGCACTGTATATATAAACAAGCAAATAATAACAAATAAATAGAAAAATATTTTCATATTGCAGAGCCTGGTTTATTCTTAAAACAGAAATGCGATTTATGGACAGATTATAATGTAAGAATCAGATGAATTAATCACCTGCATTTAAAAAAGCAAATACTACTCAGAAGTAGTACTCTCTAAAAGAGCACGCAGAGTAAAGTTAGACTTTTCTCATGACCAAGGCCCTATCTATTAAGAAGCACTCTTGTCCCTTTGCACTGTAATCAGCAGATTTCTGGTTTTAACAGTGACAACCTTCTTATTTATACAACCTCTTCATTATGAAATGCCAATGAACAAACAGACCTAAAAATCAATTCCAAATACCTTTACTCATATTCGCAGATCATTTTCCCTCATATCATTGTTATTAGTAATCCTTTTATATCGCTAAATCCTAACAGTGTCAACACTCACCCAACTGAGATATACATGACTGAATTATCTTTAGCATGTTTTCAATTCCAAAGATCCCAAAGGAAAGGAGTGTGCTTGTGCTAACCAGTTCACACAGCAAAGGAATCCAGTTTCAAAAATCCAGATAGGCAAAGAGTAAACAAGGCTACATTGTTAATACAGTTTTAGCAGTTTGCTTTTCTTGCCAATTATTTGCCTAGCCTCTCCTCTTCATTCTCTCTCAACATCCAAAATGAAATTCTCAGAACTACTAGTGTGCCAGCAGTGTCTTTCCACCTTGAAATAAGATGTTAAATAAACATTTCAAAGGGCAATTAAATACTGTGCAACATTTTCTCTGGATTCCAAATTGTGTAGACTATTTAGCCATCTTTTATCTTTTAAAAGATTCAGCTGGAGATTCACTTTAAGCCTCTCTCAACCTAGCAATTGTTTAAACATCCCTTCATATTAATAGGACACAAGCATACCAGCAGGCAGAACACAATTCACTCTTACTAGTACAGAAGAACAACAAATTGTTCATCAATCCTTGCACCAAAATCCAAAAATTCTAAACTTAATCCCTGTCCCCAAAAACCTACTACAGCCAAAATCAATCATATACATAGTGTAAGATAAAACTAGTTTTCATGCCCTAAAATGTTCTCTTCGGAAAACCATGGACCTCGGAGCTGCCCTATCTTCAGGTTTTATCCCTTATGATGCAGTAAAAACCTCTAGGTGGTCACAGAAACTCTGTTGCTGCCTTGATAGCTAGGGATAGTCTCATACAATTGTGAGTACAAATAAGCACTACCCTTCCAGGATGCAATCTGACTAGACAGAATACCTCAAAAGTTTATGTACAGATTTCACAATTTATATATTTAATAATCTATATATTTAATAGATAATATTTAATATATATTTAATATAACATATATTTAATAATTTATATTATATTATATATTTAATAATAATGAACTGATTAAAATATTTAAATATGAGCACAATACAGCAATGAAAAAGAATGTAAGCACATACTTAAGGGACTGAAACATTATTTACATTATATTATTTTTTAAAACGCATGCTATCTATATTCACTGATGTTGCAGGTCTAAAGCCAGTGGCCTGATTCAAAGGATGGCAGTATGCAGTGTAACATCTATAGGGGATCTCCTTATGAGGGTAGTGGCCCTTGTTAATTCCCTACTGTCTTGTTTTGAAGTCCTGTATCATTTTTATTGTTTTGTTGGGCTGGGTTTTGTTTTGTTTGATTATTGTACCTGATGGCATGAGCAGCTATTTCAAAGATAACAAGATATATAATGGTAGCCTTTTTTTGTTTTTGGTACTGGGGATTGAATTCAGGATCTTGTGCTTGCCAGGCATGTGCTGCACCACTGAGCTTAATCTCCAACATGGTAACCATTTTGGATTTACTATTATCTTGTTTTGAAGTCCTTCATTGTAGTCATTGTTTTGTTCCTGTTGGTTCTACTGTTTTGCCGTGTTTGACTTTTACTATGTTGAAAGCATCTGCAGCAATTTTGAAGATAGCAAGAAGCATTATGGAAACCATCATTGATTTCCTGTTCTGAAGTCCTGTATCACTTTCATTGGTTTGTTTTCACTGACTTTGTTCTGTTTTGTTTCGCTCGATTTTATTCTCTTTAAAATTAAAAAAAAAATGATGCTACAAAGTATAATTTTGCACTTGAGAGACTGAGGCAGGACGAGGATTGCTGCAAGTTTGAGACCAGCCTGGGCTACAAAGTGAACCCAAGACCAGCTTGAAATGCATAGTGAGACTCTGGCTCAAAAAGACAAAAAAAAAAAAAAAAAAGCATAATTTGGTCAAAAGATACAAATTTGCATGAACATGCATTTTCTTTCATATGGAAATAATCTATAACAAAACAGTAAAAAATGTTACCTTTAGGTGATTGAGACTGCTAGTGATATTTTTTTATCTTTGTGCTTTCCTGTATTTTCCACTTAGTCTATAATGAACATCTATCATTTAACACAGTAAGTAGGAACTCCTTTATTTTAATACCTTATATAAGTTCATATGGTTTAATACTATAATAATATTAAAAAGCATATGGTCAACCATCTCCCCCAAAGCCAATATACCACATGTTCTCCTCACAAGATATTACAGATTTCTTTTGCTAACTACAAACAGAATAAACAAAAAATTTTAACATCGGGGTGAAAGTAAAAAGTGAAGAATATTTATGATAGACTAAATACAAATTAAACATAAATAGAATAAACTTTGTGGAATATAAGAAGGAAATATTAATATAAGATCACTTACTAAAGTATTTTTAGATTAGCTAAATTTAGTTAAAACTATTTAAGACTAGACTCAAGAATATATTAATTTTACTCTGATTCATATCCTACTATCCTAGTGAAAAGTACACTAAATACAAAATCATCACAGTAAGAAAAAGGCCCAGAGGTGTCTTTCAGGCATACATTTTAGTCTCTTTTGTAACTATATGTAGCAGCTTCTAGTATCTGCACTCTTAAGACATTCGAAACTCAGATAAAGCATCAAAAACATTTTAAACTGAGATTTAAGAGCTGGGGAATTCTGGGTGACATTCTTCTGGGGAAGGTCTGAGTTCATGTTTGCATATTCTCAAGTCTGTTTTCTTTCATCTCCTCCACATTCCAAGACCAGAGACTGGAAAATACAGACAGGCACTGATAGTACTTTCCTTGAATCAGTGTCTTTAAGAGGTTGAGTTTAAATCACATGAGAAGATAAAGGTGAAAGTGTACACATAGATTCTTAGTGCTCAGTATGAAACTAATTAGGTTTATACCATACTTTTAAAAGGAAACAAATTCCTTTCTAATTTTGTATTTTTAAAGTTTATTTGATAATTATATATCGAAGACTAAGAAAAGCCACATTTATTTCCACTCTTCTAAGGTGGGTATGGAAGAACAATTATGCACTTGTCTGCCTAAAGTATGAATAGTATATAATGATAAATACAACAAACGTAACTAAAACTAACAAAAAAAAAATCACCAAAGAAGCTTCCAAAACATTAAAATACACACACTCTCAAATCAGATCCTCCAACCAAATAAGTCTGTAAACAGCTTTCCAGTGATCCCTGCCTTTTAAACACATACATGGTTTACAAAGGAAAAGCACCACTGACTCGTTCTCAAAGAGCAGCGCTCAGAGCAGAGAAATGTTAACTATCTTTCAAAACAATTACTTCAGCAAAAAAATATTTCCTTTGTAAGCAGAGGCTTATGTCCTAAAATGAATTATTTTAAAACACATTTTAACATTTGCACGATGTTAGAAAATGTTAAAAACCTTTGCTAAGAAAGCAGGGAACTAGTGCACTTTTTATCATCATAATCTAACTGAAACCCCTTCATCTTCGTGGTCTAGATTTCATTATGTTTTTTTTTTTTAGTTAAAAATATGCTATCAGACATTATGAAAGAAGATGTAGTCTAACTCTTCCTGTATGTTATTAGTGTGCTTCTCTTAGGATCTAAAAAGGTCACACTTCAAGCTCAGCATAGTGGTGGCATATGTACACTATCAGGACTTCAGGAGGCTGAGGCCAAAAGGCTCCCAAATTCAAGTAATTCAGCAACTTAGTGATGTCCTGTCTTAAAATTAAAAAGTGAAAAAGGACGGGGGTTGTATCTCAGTACAAAGACGCTGGGGTTCAATACTCAGTACCAGGAGAGGAAAGGTTAAATATCCAATGGGGACCAGGGATTATACATTAACTCTCCAGAGAGGAAGCATATTATCTATTCCACAGATGCACTTTAAAAGGAGTTTACTACCAAAACTGCATGGCATCTCACCAGTTTTTGTACAGTATTGTCTCATTTAACTGCCAACTTCAAAATATGTTTTACCATACAAGAGGTAAACACATTTCAAGAACTTTGTAAAAGTTTGTTAGAGCTTTAACGTAGATATGATCCAAATTTATTTCCCATACTGTTCACTCCCCCATGGAACTTAATTTTGTAATAAAAGTACAGTAAATGCAGTTATGCAAACGAAAGTCACAATAGTTTGAAAGGCAGAGAAATTATCACTGATGGCATATGATTGGGTTATACACTAGAATTATACATAGGAATAAACAACATGTTAAGCGTATATGTGTATATGTTACACACATTCAATATACAAGGTTAACTGTAAAAAGACGAAGAAATTGAGTCTAACAATAACTTTGCTAATTAACTATTCAGGAAAACTGGTCTTTTTGCTAATCTGTGATTGTTTATAATTTGCAGCTAGTAATATTCTGAAGTTGGACATCTTTGTCAATGTGGTGAATTTTTAAAATTTTTCTTAAAAATATATTTGGTGGAATGGAGTTATCAGCACAAATAGTGTTATGCCTTTTCATGGCATTGCCAAATTAAACTTTGTATTATCACTGTGTAAGAGTAATATGTTTGGGGCTGGGGATTTAGCTCAGCGGCATAAGCGTCTGCCTTGCAAGCAAGCAGTCGTGAGTTCAATCCCTGGTACCAATAAAAAGGAAAAAGACCAAAAAAAAAAAAAAAAAAAAGTAATATGTTTGCTATTACCTACAGTGTTGTTTTAGCTGTTAACTGCTACAAAGTGCTATATTATGAATATTTCTATAATAGAAGAAATACAGGTAACTCATTGAATTTATGTTGTTGAGTAATTTCAGGGGGCAAGAAGCAATACTTACTTTCCTAATTCAACCTTCAGAAGACTCTTCAATGAAAAAGCTTTTTTTTTTTTGTCAACTGACATCTAGAGATTAGATTTAAATTTAGGTATTTTGATTCTTCTTTTGTTTTGTTGAGATAAGGTTTTGCTATTTATTTCAAGCCAGGCTGAAACTCACTATGCAACCCAGACTGGCTTCAAACTGTGGCTTCATTAATTTGTTAATTTTGCTAATCTCCATGATGACTATGTAACAGACATACTTATTTTTTGATTGATATACAGTGACCAATAAAGTGAACTTTGGCACCTTAATCTCACATAAATAGATATTCCATATATTCAAAGGTAAACCGCAGTATGTAATTCCCTGGTGCCATCTTACCATGCTTTTTCCCGACTGAATTGCATAGTTATGTCAACACAGTAAATATGACAAAGCACTGAGTCAACTTCGTTTACACCAACTTCCTGGCTAAAAAATCCAGTTGACTCTATCAAGTTCATTATCTTTATTAACTTAATGAATGGTTTATCAAATACCAATTTTGTTTATGGAATTCAATCTGGCCTCATAACAAAATAACTGAAAATTATGTCTAGGTTGCTATGTCATAGAACTTGTAAATGAGTCAGAATTTAAGATTTTTAGGTATTATCTACATTTTTATTACCTTTTATCTAGCAATTGTTCTTTCAGTTAAACTTAAATTATTTTAGTACAGCAAAAATACAATGAAGTGCTGGGGGTTTAGCTCAGGAGCGTAAGCACCTGCCTAGAAAGCTTGAGGTCCTGAGTTCAATCCCCAGTTAAAAAAAAAAAAAATACAATGAAGTAAAATCTATAACCTTAATGCCTAAATTTCTGGTTACTAAGGGATACACTACAACTAAAAAGAACACAGATAAAATATTCTAATCCTAGGGTCACCCAAAGTTTGTTATGATCAGAAAAAACATATAAAATGATGGAAACAATCACTATAGAGGGCCAGGGATATAACTCAGTTGAACAAGGCCATGCCTAGCAAGCATGAGGTTGTGAGTTCAATCCCCAGTTCAAAAAAAAAACCCAAAGAACCAAAAAATCACTATGGAATCTAGTAATTGCTGGCATTAGCCAAGAGCCAAATACTAAAATTAAGTAATGGCTGCATGTTTATGTTCTTCCACAAACCTAAATATTTTAAGAAATGGATCAAAAGTACCTAAAACCTAAATCAGATTACTTTTGCCTCTTTTTCCACATCAACCTTCCTTCAAAATCAAAAATTCAAATATACACAAATTTTTCATCTGACTAGAGGTTTCACTCATTTTAAAGTAAAACCTGAATGATGACAAACTTAATAACCAACCAACTAACCAAATTAGTACTAAATCAACCAAACTTTATCAAACTAAATGGCAGTTCTAGAACTGAATTCAATAAACACTATATATTTTCTACATCTGGACAACAGAGTTAAACAAGACTTTTTTAGTGAACTTATTTAGTTTAATAAAACATAAGTAACAAACACTAATAAGAAAAATAAAAGAAACATCTAACTATAATAACACTGTCAAGAAATCGGAACTCTGGCTGAATGTGGTGATGTATGCTTGTAATCCCAATACTCTAAAGGCTAGGGCAAGAGAAGCACAAGTTTAAGATTAACTTGTGCAACTTCAGCAACTCAGCCGGTATCTCAAAATAAACAATCAAAAGCCAGGGGTTTAGCTCAGCCGCACAAGCGCCTGCCTAGCAAGCGTAAAGTCTTAAGTTTGATTCCCTGTACCAAAAAAAAAAAAAAAAAAAAGAAAGAAAAAAGGAAAAAAGAAACAATAAAAAAGACTGGGGATAAAGTTTACTGGCAACCCCTTGAGTTCAGTTTCTATGATCCCTGCTCCCAACATCCACACAAAGAAGAAAAGGGAAAAATAAATCAGAATTCCGAAATTATGGGAAATAGCTTTGTAATAGCATAGTTAGGATTTCTTACATATATGTGTATACATGTGTGCACATAACCAGTTTCTTGTAAAAACAGAAAAATCATACTGCTTTATCATCCAGTTAACTACTTATATCACTCTGTCAATTAGTATACAATGGTACCTCAGTGTACGAACTTAATTGATTCTACAATTCTAGAAAAGATGGGTCTTGTTCATCTTTGTGCTGGAAAGATGGCTCCGAATATGTGTGTCACCTGACACAGATGACAAAAACAAAATTTTGCCCAATGCTTCTGTTTGTGAACCAAACAGTTGGTAAGCAAAAGCATTTGTGCACTGAGGTACCACTGAAGTCACCATTTTTAAATAAGAGGCACAGTACTGACTGTACTCTAACTAATACTAACCAATACCTTGCTGCTAAATGCTTTGCTTATTATTTTTTAATTCAGGGGTGGTGGTAGTAAGGAAACAATGCCAGATAAAGTATTACCTGCTATGAAGTTAGCCCCGATGCTCTTTACAGCCAGGTAAGAAATTCATCACCAAACACATATACATATTCTCACTTTCTCTCCTACAGATTTCTAGAAACAAAGCTTAACATTTTCATACTGTATCTATATCCGCCCCAACTGTCTAAGCTTTAATACTGTTCTTAATCATTAAAATTTGGAGTGTATCTTCTAATTTCAATCTCTGTCCACCCTAAAAAAAAAAATCCTACCCAATATTTCTACATAAAACTTTGAAGCAAAATATAATCTCTCTGCTTGAAAAACATCTAACCCCAATTCTTAGAGAACAGTACCCAAACTATTGTTTAATAAGTTTGATATTCAGGTTGGATGATACAGCTAATAATATACCTCCCAATCTTATCTGCTACTTTCTTTCAAAAATCCTCCAATAAAATCCTAAAACAGTACTCACTTCTTTGAATAGCCTTTAATTTTCCTATTAAATATGCTGTTCTTTCATCTAAAATGCACTTAAAAGAAATAAATAAAATGCATTATCAAAGAACACAGATAAATCTGAAGGGGATCTTATAAATATCTAGTCTATTTATCTTTTTGTTTGTTTGCTTGTAGTGCTTGGGATGAAACCCACAACTTCCTGTTTGCCAGGCAAGTGCTTATGCTGCTGAACTACATCCCCTGCCCAGCCTAGTCTATTCATCTTAGTTTACAAATAAGAAACTTGTATCACTTATCAAAGAGCCCATAAAACTCCCGCTGTAACATTCTTTTCATTAAAGAGTGGTTAACAAACTCTAGTGTGCCAATATAATTAAGCCAGTGAACATTAAAAACATGGGATTCCCAAGACCCCATCCTCAAGCATTTGTTCTAGTAATTCAAGTTAGGACCAGAACTCACTTTTTTGGGGAACAGTAGTGAGAATTGAGCACAGGGCCATAATACATGTTAGGCAAGCATTCTGTCACTTAGCTCCATCCTCAGTCCTTCTGACTCAAAAGTCTCAGTAGAGGAAGCTGAGGATTTAGCTCAGCAGCTTAAGTGCCTGCCTGGCAAGCACAAGGTCCTGAGTTTGATCCCTGGTACCAAAAAAAAAAGTCTCAGTAGATTCCCCAAGCTGGACTCAAACTTCTGTGATCTTCTTGCCTCAACCTTTTGAGCAACTGGTATTACAGGTGTGCCCGCCCCATACACTCAGGTCAGAATTCCCATTTTTACTAGGTATTTTTGTTGACTTTAAAGCAAGGAGTCAAAGATTTAAATAGTGGGGCTGGGAATTTAGCTCAGCGGCATAAGCGCCTGCCTTGCAAGCAGGCAGTTGTGGGTTCGATCCCTGGTACTGATAAAAAAGAAAAAGACAAAAAAAAAAAAAAAAAAAAAAAAGATTTAAATAGCTAGAATCACATGAAATAATGCATATATTAAGAATACAGTCTGTAGCCTTGGCTGAGCATAGTGGTGTACACCCATAATCCTTGGAAAGGGCTGAGGCAGGAGGATTGCAAGATGAAAGCCAATTTGGGCAACTTGGTGAGATCTTATTTCAAAATAAAAAATACAAAACGGACTGGTGATGCAGCTCAGTGTCAAGGCCCTGAGTTCAGTGCCCAGTACTGGAGGGGGAAGGAAGCAGCATTCTAGTACTTAGCATATCATCTGAAATTTTCTATTTCCTGTCCCATAATATAATCTCACAAAGTTACTCACTGCTACTTGTGCCGAATCCATAAATCTCAGACCAAAATAATCACTTTCAATAAGGTCCAGGTGATACATAATCTGATCAAACAGTTCTTGTCCTTTGGCTTTTTTCTGAAATAGCAAGAAAATAAATTAATTAATAAGAGGTTTAAAGGACCAAGAGACCTGAAACAAATGATTCTTAGCTCAATTTATTCATAAGTATTTTACTCTCCTTGATGCTATTGTGAATGAAACTGTTTTCTTAATTCATTTACAGATTGTTCAATTCTTATGAATAAACACAACTGATGTTTTTCTCTGCTGATTTATTTTGGAATGATGCTGAATTCATTAACATCAACAGATTTTTTTGTTGCTTTGAGAACTATTAGGATTTCTACATAATATGTCATCTTAGACAGAAATAATGTTACTTTTCTTCCAATTTGGATGCATTTTCCCACATAATCATCCTGCATAATAAAAAGTGTTTAAAAAAAAAAGTGGCAAAATAGGCACCTGTCATGCTTTTTTTTTTTTTGTCTTTTTGCTTTTTATCGGTACCGGGGATCGAACTCACGACTGCCTGCTTGCAAGGCAGGCGCTTATACCGCTGAGCTAAATCCCCAGCCCCCACCTGTCATGCTTTTGACCTAGGAAGAAAAGTACTTCTCTTAATCTTCCATTTATTCTTCAATTTTTCTTTTACGGTTCCTAATTTGTCTTTTCTAATATGAAGGGTTCCTAGAATTTTCAACTCACTAATTTCTCCTTGATCTTAACTGATCTTTATCACATCAACTGTGTGTGTGTGTGTGTGTGTGTGTGTGTGTGTGTGTGTGTGTATCTATATAATTTTTGCCCCCAAGACCACTATTTCTCTTCTAGGTTTTTATGGAATAATCTTAAGAGACGAAGCCTTGGGCTGGGGATTTAGCTCAGCGGCATAAGCGGCTGCCTTGCAAGCAGGCAGTCGTGAGTTCGATCCCTGGTACCGATAAAAACGAAAAAGACAAAAAAAAAAAAAAAAAAAAAAAGAGATGAAGCCTGACACCCTTATTAATTCACTATCCTGCATCTAAACAGACAAAAATTCTTACTAAAGAATGTGGCTTTGCCAAGGGTCTTAACTTCTTTAGGTATTAACTTTAACCACATTAAAGATGTGCCTCAAATGTTTCTAATTCCTCTTGACAAATATTAATAGAGGACTTCTATGTGCCAGGCACTGTTCTAGGCAACTACAAATGGAAATAAAGAGATTGAATCTTAAATTCTAGCAAGGTAAGAAAATAATAAATTATGCTATTTATTAATAGCATAAAAATTATAGTGATAAAAATTATAAAGAATAAAGTGAGGGAATAAAGACTGAGAAATATCTAATAATAAGGTTCTTTTTAAGTAACAGAAACTTGATGAAAAATCAAATGAAATAAGAATAAACTATGTATCTACAGAAAATGCTTCCCAGGCAGAAATGCAGTCTTTAACTCTGCCTGTGTGTGGGTGTGTGTGTTTCAGCAGGAGCTAGAGATACATGTGTTGCATATTCCAGGAACAAAGCCATTATACCTAAAACAAAGCGAACAACAACAACAAAAAATTCAATAATGAAAAAGAAATTTGCAAAGATCTTGAAAACTGAAAAAAACTTAAAAAAAAAAAATCCATGCTGCAAACAAACATAAATGGGATGTCACGAAGCATTGCTAATAAATTTAAACAGAAAGTAGCAATTACGCTGAACTTTGCTGACAACCATCCCCTAAAGGCAATACAAAGTATTTCTAAACTATAGCAGGAACTCACATAAGTATGCTGAATTCATTTATCTATTTGGTACTAAATTAACATGGTCCCAATATCTTAAATTGTAAAGTACACTTTTAGATTCAATTTCACGTTCCATCAACACTCTACTTTTGCTTAAAAGACCACAAAGAAGCACAGCTTAAAACGTGACTCTCTTTATTCCATCATTCCTCAGCTTCTAAAATCACAGATGTTGTAAGGACAGGGAACCTGTGCCAGCTGGACAGCTGTCTCCTCTGAACAAAAATCTTTTCAAGGTCATATATTTGACCCATCCTTAATAGAGGCAATTCGAGACCATTCAACAGTAAACAAAAAAATTAGCCACAGGTACCTAAAGTTAGTAATGCACATAACCAAACATCTGATGTCTCAAAAGAATGTTTCACAAAATATCTTAATTTGACCTTTAGGAATAGCATGAATATAGTATTTTAAAAACTTTCACTGAGTCCAGTTTGCAAGAAAAAGGCCTATGCCATTTCAGGAAAGGAAGTCACAGATAAGAAATAAGTGCAACAAATACAGTATGATGGTTTTAGAAATATTCGTTTCTAATTCAGAAATAAAATGTGTTACTGGTTTTGTTTTGGTCTCTTTGAGACAGGGCTTCACAATGCAGTTCAGGTTGGTCCTGAACTCAATTTGTGTGGTCCAGGGTGGTCTCGAACTTTGCAGTGATCCTCCTGCCTCAGACCTCCAAGTATATTCATGCTATTCCTAAAAGGTTACATTCTCTATTTTCTTAAAGTTTTAAATTTCATTATGAATTTAATAGCAATATATTTCTGACATAACCTATCATTCAATTCAACAACTATTGAACGGGCACCAGTGATGTGTTAGGTACTCAGAGTTACATACAGAAGTACAATTATAACTTTTACTCTCAAGCAACCACAAGGTTTAGTTAATAAAATTATATACTAGTTGAAACACATTAAATGTGCTGCAAGTGCAGTTTTTGCAGTACAAACAAAATGCAAAAGAACTGAAGGTAAGCTGCTAGTTCTGCCTGTAAGTATTGAAAGCTTCAGAGGATTCTGTATTTGAAATTGAACCTGGAAGGGTAAACAGAGCTCTGCTACCCTATGTAAAAATAATGAAAAAAAAAAAGAGATGAAATTTTGACTGCCTATGTTAGGGCAGAGGAAATAAAGACTGGAGACAGACAAGAGAAGATAAAGCGGTAAAAGCTGCCAACTTGATCTTTTTAAAACTGCAAGTAGAACTTCACTCTGCTCTTTAATATCCTTTAATTACTTTTCATCATCTACAGTTTGAAGTACAGATTGTAGGACACAAAACAAAAAGTCTTAATAGTTTCTTACTATTATAACCTTATCTTGTCACTCTGGTATATTTATATATTTATAATTTCCCCAGTAAGTCCTCACTGTGGTGTTAACAAAATATACCTACTTTTACTTAAAAAAGCCTTTCTGCCTCTAACTAACCACTGGCTTCTCCTGAACTTCCATCTGTGTAGTCTTCCAACAACCCTAGAGAAACCTAATACTCTTTCCTCTGTAATACCTTATATCTGTAATTCTAGTTAATTTAAATTATGCAAAGGTTCAGAACTGTAAATGCTCTATCAGATTTAAGCAATGGTTGAAAGGTCCACCCAATATGGCCAATCTTTGGTCACCATCTCTTTAGGAACTTTTTTTTCTGTTAAACTAAGATCTTCCCTACACAGCCATTCTCTAGCTGTCCGTCCTTTCTTCCTTCCTATCACCAACAAATCTCATAGCAATCCTTCATTTTTTTTGGCCATGAACTTATTCAAACAATTAACCAATATTTTCTAAGCATTTACTACATGCAAAGAACTGTGAGATACAAAAATGTAACTATTTCTGATAATTCCTTTAACCTTCTAAAATCCAGTTTCCAAAAGCACTAACTCTACTAAAGGCCTTCTCTTTACTTCCATTTTTTCATTCCTCTAAAGCATCACAACAGCTAAATACGCTCTTGTAATCTTCCATACAATTGACATGCTCTTCCCTACAACTGACATGATCCCACCCAGCTATTAAACTATATTTTACTCATGTCTAATCTTTTTTTTTTGAATTAGTTATACCAGGGATTGAACCCATGACCTTGTGCTTGCCAGGCAAGCATTTACACAGCTGAGCTAAATCCCCAGTCCTCGTTTCTAATCTTTATCCTTATTGCCACATGTAGGTGCTAACATTCCTTCCTTTGTAATCTTGCTATACTAGTCTATAGCCTTACCATTTTGCGCCCATATTACAATAGCACTCTGTAGGCTTTTTTCCTCCAATAAATCAAACATGTCTCCCTCTAAGTTAAACCTGTATGTCATTTTTACAATGGAATGAAACAAAAATACACAAAAATTGCTGCATTCTCTTTTTGGTAAAAGAGCTTTACTGAAACATAACTCACAAAACATCCACCCATGAAAATATACAAATTAATGGATTAGAGTATATTCATATGTACAACCATCACCGAAATCAATTTTAGAACATTTTATCATCTCAAGAATAAACCTCATATGTTACAACAATTACCCCATTACTAATTCTCCTAGGTATTATGCATTTGCCCCCAAGTGACCACTAATCTACTTTTTATTATCTATTTTGGAGTTGTACAAGAATGGAATTAAAATGGGAGAGAAGGGAGAAAGGGACATAAAAAGAAGTATTAAATACATGTACCAATTTCCTGTGATGAATGTAATCACTATGGACTGCAAACATGTATTAGTAAAAGTTTAAAAAAAAAAAAGAGCCAAAAGGAAAAATGTGGTTTTTATGGCAGGTTTCTTTTGCTAGCAAATGTTTTCAAAATTCATTCATAACAGGTATCAGTACTTCATTTCTTTTATGGGTAAATAAAACCCATTAAAAGACTAACACATTTTGATTATTCATCTGTTTACGGCTATCTATGACTATTAAACTCGAAGCATTGGCTTTTATGGAAAACTCCTACCAGATTAGTAAAGCACACACCTGGATGTGTCTTAAGTGGGTTGTGAAGGTGTGACTTAGGTACCATATGGTCCCTTGCCTGTTCCTTTGGTACTATTCCCTTGCTCTACTACGCTTAAATAGCAAAAGGTTTTACTTTTGAAGAAGTTCAATTATTCTGTTTCCTTTTGTTGCTGTACTTTTGGTGGTATATCTAAAAAACCACTAGCAAATCTAAGGTAAATACAGATTTACCCCTGTTTTCTTTGAAGAATTTTATAGCTTTAGCAGTATGTCTATGACATTGACATATTTTAATTTTTTACACATAGTATGAGATAAAAGCCCAAATTCTGCATATGGTCATAGTTAAATAAATTTATTCTTCTGCATATAGTCATAGTTGAAGAAATTTATTCTTTCCCCATTGAACGGTCTTAGCACTCTTGCCAAAAATCAGCTGACCACACACATATATAGGTAATGAGCTTTCTCTTTGTTTCATTGATCTATGTCTATCTTTGTGCCAACTGTACACCATCTTGATTATTATTATTTTCTTTAAGTCCTAAAATTGGAAAATAAGAATTATCCCATCTTCTTTTCCAATTTTGTTTTGACTATTCAGGATCCCTTGCAATTCTATGAGAATTTTAGAATTACCATGTAAATTTCTACAAATAGGTCTGCTGGAATTCTGGTGAAGACTGCATTGAACATGCAATCAGTTTGGAGTGTATTGCTATCCTCACAATTTTAAGTCTTCAAATTCATGAACAAAGGAGTATGTCTGACCCTTATCCTCAGGGTATATGTCTCAAGACTTCTAGCAAATGCTTAAAATGACAGATAGTAACAAACCTTATATACTGTTTCTCCTACACATGCATACTTATGACAAAATTTAATTTGAAAATTAAAGATTAACAATACAATTATAGCAGAGTACTAAGAGTTGCACATTTAATATGTTTGGGTCATGATGACCATCCTTATTGCAGAAAAGTGAAAATGTAGTTAACGGCAAACTATACATGGGCTATAAAGACTCCGGTAGTAAAGTATGTACATAAAAGTTATGATCTATTGGTTAATCAAGTATTCTCTATTAATTTAAAACTCATAAGTTGTAGAATTTTATATTATAGGCTATTTAATAATACTTAAGTCACAAAGTTTAAAAGTCAAAGTTAGAAATTTTTCTCTGATGCCTTTGTTTTCCACTAAAAGGCATTCTCACTGTATGTAGTTGAGAGAAGGGAAATGAAGCAAAGAGAAAAGGAACAGAGAAGAAAAGAGGGAAGCAGAGGAGAGGAGAGAGAAAGTAGTAGGTATTTAAATCCCTTACCCAATTTGAGAAGACTAGAAATAGGATCAGTATTAGGTGTGGTGGCATATTCCTGTAATTTTAACTCTTCAGGAGATTGAGGCACAAAGATCTCAAATTTGAGCCCACTCTTGACAATTTATTGAGACTCTTGTTTCAAAGTAAAAATCTAAATTTAAGAAGCTCTAGATTCAATCCCCAGTACCACCACACACACAAAAAAAAGACCATTTACTACTGGTATACATTAATTTCACTAATGTGAAGTCCAGAGATTGTTTAAATTACTCTAATCACTGATAATCCCTTATATAATATCTGGGCAATCATCTTAGTTCCAGGCTAGCTAGCTATAATCACTAGTGAACCTAATTCTCATAGGAAAAGAGTGTGTGTTTCATTCAATTTCCAAAATTGAATTCTTCCACACTATCATACTGGGCTGGAGGAAAATAAATCAGAAAAACTAATTTTTTTGTTGTTGTTTAAGAAAAAATTCTCTCATCTATAGTTTCCTAGTAACAAAACTTCAACAGGTGAGCCAAGGTTCATTTTATACTCATCCGATTTCTATTTCATAACCATCCGAATACTTAAGAGTTCAGGTTACTAAGGCTTTATCTGCAGGTCTAAAAAGCCAACTGTTTTTGCTCTACAAAGAGCCAGATTTAAAACTGGCTGTTTCACTGCAATTGTCTCCTTAACAGGCCAGCCAGCATTTCTGGATTTGATCAAGCATCACACATACTCTGTTGAACAAATCAAATTCAGGAAACCATTTTATAATAGTAACTACGCAACACTGCCTTTTCAAAGTTTCTTTGCAAATTCTCCTAGTATCAGCCTATCCATTCTTTAAACTCTAAGACTCCACTCCAAGACACTTCATCCAACACTTCATACTTCAAACATTAATAAAAAACTATTTTCTAAGCTCTCACATAGCAATGCCAGGCTTTTCATCACTTAGCTAATGACATTTTAATATGATAGAACATAAAACTCTTTAAGACTCTTATCAAATAATAAATACAAAATCTATCTGCACAAAGTATCTGATGTTGCAAAGTCTCACAAACCCTAGGGAAAAAACTTAAGATTTCTCAGGCCAGGGATATAGCTCATCAACACAGTACTTGCCTGGCAAGCTCAAGGTCCTGAGTTTGATTCCCTGTCAAAAAACAAAAACAAAAACAACAACAAAAAAATAAACTTTGATGTCTTAACATTTTACAGAATCAAAAACCCTAAAACTGTGCAGTCTAACATATATAGAGAATACAATAAACTTCAAAACACTTCAAGAAATCTTGAATCTTTGATTAATTTTATATCCTAATATTTAACAATGTAAACATACATAACTAGTACTTAGACTATTCTTTTAAAAGACCTTTTAGAGCTTATTCAACAACACATTTCAGCAACATCTAAACCACTGGTAAAGCTACGCAGAACATAGATTTAAAAAGACCTGAAAGGGTCATCATCGCTGATCTAGGCTCTCATCCTGCCCAAAGAGACTCGTAGGCTGAATTTCAGGTAAATGAATGGGTACTAGAAAGTTTGGATCACCTATCAGGTGACATCCAATGAAGCTCATGTCAAATCTTACAATTTATACTAAGTCTCTGCGCACAGAGCAAAGACATCAGAGATGTCGTACTGGTAAACTGCTCAGAAATTCAAATGATTTCTTCCCCTAATCTTTAAAAAGGCCTTTAAGAAATAAACTTGCCCTCTTTTCAAACACTGAGTTATTTCACACTGTGAATTATGATTATGCCTTTGTAACATAAAAAAATAATTCTTATCCAAGATGCTAAAATATCCTGTTTTGAAATAAAGAGTACAGTGTTATGAAAAAACCTATAACACATTACTTTGGTAGTAAAGGGACAAGTGATCAAATCTGAGTGAATAAAAAAATCTTTTGTCTCACTTTATTTCATTAAAATTTTCTCAAACACATCAAGTTATAGAGGAAGTATCTGTTTTGATTTAAAGAAAGTAACAGGAGTTCTGAAAAATATAGAAAAATAAAAGAACTAAAAGTCTTACAGTATACATAAATCATCATGCTTCCCAAAGATTCTCAATTGTTTTAATAACTGCTTAACAAGAATTACAAGGACATACTTCTACCATCAAGATCACACATAAGAAGCCAAGCAAGCACCTCCCCTCTCTGGCAAGCGGTGGCAGAGTGGCTGACTGCAGCTCTTCCGGGGGAGAACCAGCAGTATTTCCTGAGATCCACACCATGTTGGAACTTAGGACACTGGGAAGCCAAGCAAGCACCTTTCTTCTCTCGTAAGTGGTGGTAGTCTGGCAAACTGTGGCCTTCCAGGGGGAGAACCAGCAGCTCCTGAGATCCATACCATGTTGGAACTTAGGATGCTGTGAAACCAAACAACCAGCCTGCCTCCTTGCTAAGCAACAGTAAACCTACTGATGCTGATGCGCGGCCTAGAACCAAATATCCCATTCCCCTCTACCCCTTCTCTTCCCCCTTCCCCCCTGCCCCCCAATAGCAAATGGGAACCTGAGTGTCTCCTGGGAGGTTGACATAGCAAATAAGGGGGACTTCCTTCTACCATCTCTTTGAAGGCAAATATTTTTATTACTCTTTTGCTCTTTTCTGATTAATGGTACTGCTCTATTCAATATTCTGTTTTAATAAGTTCTATAATGTTGTATATTTCATCTCATTTTGATATATGTGATTGAAAGAACAACTATTATACTGTGATATCTATTACTGTTATCCTGGTAACCTACTGTGAAGTTGTGTACCAATTTCACTGTATGATCTTAGTTGGCTTTATTCTGTCTTGCTCTGCTGTATACTTTCAAAATAAAATTTAAAAAAAAAATCACACATAAACACATATGGGTTTAATTCATACCAGTATCTGTTTTCTTATTTGTTTCAAATAAGTGGAATGGTTCCAGAGAGATAAACTATTACTCTAGATACTATTGGTTTAAGATTACCTGATCTATGTACTGGAATACTACAGTGTCTGATTCATACTAACTCCCCTAGGGGATTTAATAAAGCTCAAATACAGACAGAACAGTAAACTATATAGAATCCGCAGGGCAGCAAGACTTACATACCGGCAAGTCCACACTAACATCAGTACCATCCAGAAGGGACACCCGACAAGTGATTACGGACTTAGAATCTCCAGCAGCAGGAATGTGTGTGGCAGCTCGCTGTGCCTCTCGGAGTCGTTCTTTCTCAGCATGTTTACGCATGGAGCGGCGCCCCAGAGTTCTACGGAGGAAGCTCAGCATTTTGTCTCTTGAAAACCAGACAGAACAAAATAACATTAGGAATAGACTCTCCACAATTTGTTGTCAGACAAATACTATTATTTAGTAAACTCTTAGGAACATTAAATTGAAAAACAATTAAAACTGACTATTCTTTTATTTGTGTGGTACCAAGGATTGAATTCAGGATCTGGCTAAATTCTAGAATGCCCAGCCTGGGCTCCAACTCATGATCTTTCTGCTTCAGCCTCCCAGCTGCCAACTTTTTATACACATTTCAAAACATCATACTATATTACAAAAAATACGTAAATTTTTATGTCAGTTAAAAATATTTTTAAAAACTGGTTACTTCAACTCAGAGTTTTAAAAGCTTTTAAGAATAAAGTTAAGGGGCTGGGGATTTAGCTCAGCGGCATAAGCGCCTGCCTTGCAAGCGGCAGCTGTGAGTTCGATCCCTGGTACCGATAAAAACGAAAAAGACAGAAAAAAAAAAAAAAAAAAGAATAAAGTTAAGCAAAATAGTTAAAACAGGTATTAATAATTTAAAAAAAAATATATCATGTTACATGTGAAAATATAAGCTGGAAAAACAGAACAGAAAGATCATAGAAACAAAGTTGCCTGGCTAATCTAGTGTATGTAATTTGTATAATTAACAGAGTTTGAGAATAAGTACATCCACTAAACCAAAATATAAAATTTAAAAAGACAATACTTAACTCCAGGAAAAATAAATTGTGCAGAAAAGAAAAAATAATTTAATAATACTACATGACATAGCCTCTTAACAGTTCAAGTAACTCCTAGAATTAAAAATTAAAATGTAGCAATTAAAAACATGTCTATTAAAATATGAAGATGGCTGGCTGAGAAAGGAGCAAAAGAATTCAAAACAGTGCTTTTCCAAAAAATACTACCAAATTAGATGACCTTTTCAACTGGATGCATTTATAAATCTGATTTTTAAAAAAATTTGTAAAACTAACTTTAATATACTACCATATTAAAACATAAGTACTAGCTGGGCGTGGTGGCTCACACCTGTAATCCCAGCACTCGGGAGGCTGAGGCAGGAGGATCGTTCCAAGTTCGAGACCAGCCTAGACACAAAGTACGCTCAAGGCCAGCCTGAACTGCATAGATAAGACCCTATCTCAAAAAGACAAAAAAAAAGTACTGTATCTATAAATTGAGGATTATCATACATATTGTACAATGTATATTCCTGCATAACTAAACTAATCCCAAGGAAATAACTAAAATTTTTGATAGTTTTCCAGTTTATACAACACTCACACATAACACCTGGCTCCATCACCTGCTCCAGGGTGTCTTCTAGGCATTACTCCTTTAACATCTTGTTATCCAGTCTCATTGCAGCTGCTTAGGTAAGACTATCCTTGACCATCCCATCATCATATTCCACTGAACCTTGAAAATACTTTATGGCTTCACTAATCAGATTATAATTATTCACTAACATCTCTTCTTTATTGTAAGCAGTTTGAGGATACAAGATCTCCTCTGAACAGCTAATTACCCAGCAAAATTCATAATCCTGAGCAACAAATACTTTTCTTTTTTTTGTCTTTTTCCTTTTTATTGGTACTAGGAATCGAACTCACGACTGCCTGCTTGCAAAGCAGGCGCTTATGCCGCTGAGCTAAATCCCCAGCCCCGAGCAACAAATACTTAATAAATAATCTTACCTGGTCCTAAGAAAGATTCCTCAGGCACTGTCTTATTTTGATGAGTACTATTTAGTAAATGGTGAATACTGTACAAGGAGGACTTCAAAGTTTGATTTTCTTTCTTTTCTTTTAGAGACAGAAAATGGAGTATTCTAATTGGTATGTTGAAACCCAAAAGATTGCCAGGAAATATTCTGAAAATTATATGACAGTAAAATAGAAAATTTGGAAAAAATGGAGAAATTTTTACACACCTATTGTTACAGGCAGCTGAGTCAGATGGAAACACTCAAAGTCTGATTTTCTAATCTTGATTTCTCTCTACTGTACCACAAAACCACTCATGCAAAATTCACATTTTAGATATAATGAAGTTTAAAAGCTCACAGCTTAAAAAACTAAATGAAACATATACAGAAAAACATGAATTCATTTTTAAAAATTTAATTTGTCTTCTTCTACAAATAAATTGCAAGAGATAAAGGTGGAGAAGGAACCAGATACCAAAAATAAAATGAAGACTTCAGGTTGGGGGTACAGCTCAGAAATTAAGGGTGTTTAGCCTGTGTGAGGCTTTGAGTTTGATCTCCAGGCCCCAACACTAAAAAACAAAACAAAAAAAAAATTGAAATACATATTAATCATAATATATAAATTAAATCTGGATCCTGATTTAAATTTTTTAAAGTTATTAGGGGCTATCACAGGGGAGACTTAATTTTTAACTCATAATTCTAAGAATATTAAATTATTTTAAAGAATCATACACAAGGTGTCATGTGTGACTTTTTAACCTGCATGCATTTATAAACCTGATAAAAAATACAAGAAAATACTAATACCATATAAAAATTCAACAGCTATGAAGATTATCACTTTCATTTTACACGTTTGCATGCTACTACAAAAGTAGATAAACTAGCAGCCATGACAGTTGTCATTTGAACTGCCCAAAGAAATAAAATTACATACAAATTTTAATATCAACTGTATTATGATAAATAAGACTACTGCCACTTTTGGGTAAAATCACAGCATTGAAATTATCTTTAAAAACAGTTCTTTGGCTAATAACGTAACTCGGAGGTAGAGCACTTACTGAGTATGGTATAAGTCCCTGTGTTCAATTCCTAGAACACATACACACTTAATCTTCTAGAGAAACAGACTATAAAATATTTATTGAAGAAACAATGTAAGGTTGGGGATTTGTTTCAAAATAATACAAGAAAGCCAGATGTGGTGCTGTATACCTATAATCACAATACTCAGGAGACAGAGGCAGGAGGAGCACAAGTTCAAGTCTTGACTGGGCAACTTAGGGAGACTGTCTCACAAGAAAAATAAAAAAACGGGGACTGGGGATTTAGCTCAGCGGCATAAGCGCCTGCCTTGCAGGCAGGAAGTCGTGACTTCGATCCCCGGTACCGATAAAAAGCAAAAAGACAAAAAAAAAAAAAAAGAAATGTACAAAAAATAAAAAAAAAGGATGTAGGATGTTGCTCAGTGCAAAGGCCTTGGGTTCAACTCTCAGTACAGCAAAAACAAACCACAAGGAAGGCAATGAGGTCAGCACAGAGAAGAAACAAATTAAGTATCCCTACTGAAATTGGGTGATCCAAACACAAGGTTCATTGTACTTGCATTTTCACATATGCTAAATTTCCCACAGTAAATGCTTTTAAAGGAAAACATTCAAAATGCCTTATAATTTTGTAGTTTGCAGGTAACATAATCATAATTTTTCTGACTTTCATATCATCTTGACAGTTTGCAAACAGATTTAACTATACAAATACAGTTAATTTGTCAAAGGAAAATACACCTTGTTTTCAGGTGTAAAATGCAGTAACTGCATTTTGAATGATGAAATCCAGTATGACAAAAGAAATTTTATACAACTACGTAAGCACTTAACATAAAAATTATAGATGGACTAAAGATTTAAAAGTGAAAAACAAATGAGAGTACCAGAAAAGTCCTAAACACTTTTAAACAACTTTCTGGAAAACTTTTGAAGCAGTTTAATTAACAACTATTACAAATCATTTGTATAAACAACCCAATTTTAAAAAATGGGCAAGATATGAAATAGCAAGTCCAAAAGAAGGTTATAAGAGACACACAAAAGATATTTATATGAAAAGACGTCCAGAGAGCTTCAAAATGGCGGCTTGCTAGGGGATCGAGCGAAGAGTCTCTCCGGAGAATTCATACTAGAAGCTAAAAAATGACAACATGGAGAGGGCCAGACAAATCGATAGCGATTCTTATTAACCAAGACAGTACAGCTGGAGGACTTAAAGTCGTGCTGAGACCGTGAACACTGATAATGGGAGGCTGCAAATCCCGCGCCTTTAAATCAACAAACTGACCCGTGGACCCAGCAGGAAAAGCTGAGTTGCTTTTGGGGATGCGGGAAACTGAGACCCGGGCCGGGACTCCAAGTAGCAGCCAGGACTGCACCGCTGCACCAGAGCGGATGTACAAAGCTCTGGCGCTTCAAATCTAAACGGTGCACAGATATCTGACCATTCAGCGCTGTGCCGGGAGCGCACGCTGTGCACCGTTCCGCGCTGTGCCGGGAGTGCGGGAAAGGTGGGCAGCTTGGTGTGCGGTGGTCCCGGAATGAGGACCTGCACCAGACTCTGGTGAGTACTGGGAACCCCGCGGCTGCTGGGGTTGGCCAGAGAACAGCTGGCCCGCCACCACGGGGAAATCAATAACACAGTCTGGTGCAGACATTTTAGCCTGGCGGCAGAAACTGCAGCGTGGTGACATCACCAGGTCCCCCTGTAGGGAGGGCTGGTGGAAGACATCTTGAATCCTGGCAGAGCCTGATTACTTGCTGGCTTCAGCTCCACACAGAGAACTTAGTGGGAGACATCTTGGTTTTGGGCGGATCTGCTATTCTGGTGCTCCTGTCACAGAGAGGTTTGGAAGAGAACGGCTGCGATTTGGGCAGAACCCTGTGACATTACTCAGCTGCTTCTGGTACAAAGAGAACTGGCAGGAGCTACTGGGGCTAAACTAAGCCTCTGCTTGGGGCCCAATAAGCGGATACAAAATAGTCACAACTCAGTGACAACCAGAAAGTATAGCCTAATTTAGGAACTAACTGGCACAGAGGCTAGAGACTAGCCTGTACCGCCCCTGCATCCCAGCCTACCCCAGATAACAGTAAATTGGGGAGGACAGCAAAAACTCAAGCCAGCACGCTTCTGAAAGGCCCTAAGCAATTCGGAGAGGGCCAGAGAACTCCAGGACAGTCTGAAAGAAACCAGAAACATGACAAGAGATAAAAATAAAAAAAAATCTCCAGCTGCCCAACAGG